ATATATATATATATATATATATATATATATATATATATATGAATCACTCTGCTGTACACCTGAAACTAAAACATTGTAAATCAACTATACTTCAATTAAGATTTTAAAACATAAATTATGCATGTTTAAAGGTGCAAACAATTAAAACATAAAAATCTAATGAACCTCACTCCTAAGAAAAGTGCAAATTAAAAAAAAAAAAGCTGAACCAATAAGGACCTACTGTATAGCACAGGGACCTACATACCCAATCACTTATAATAACCTATAACGGAAAAGAATCTGAAAAAGGATATATATATGTATGTACATATACATATATACGTATATATATATGTACGTATACATATATATAACTGCATCACTTTCCTGTGCACCTGAAACTGCCAACATTATAAATCAAATATACTTCAAAAGAAATTATTTTAAAAAACAAAAGAAGTAATTACCTTCCAAGTACCAACAATGGAAAAGTGAACAGATAAATATCATCTCCCTCGCCAACAATAATGATGCTGAGATAGCATATTTCACCAGTCACGCCTAATAACGTCAAAAAAGCATCAAAAAGCTTGCACTAATCCTCCTACACTGTTGGAAGGAATGTAAACTGGTACAGCCACTATGGAGAACAGTATGAAAGTTCTTTAAAAAACTGAAAATAGAGTTACCATATGATCCAGTGATTCCACTCCTGGGCATGTGTCTGGAGAAAACTATAATTCAGACAGATACATGCACCCCAATATCACTGCAGTGCTATTTACAATAGCCAAGATGTGGAAACAACCTAAATGTCCAACGACAGATGAATGGATAAAGAAGACGTGGCATATATACACAATGGAATACTATTCAGCCATAAAAAAGAGTGAAATAATGCCATTTGCAGCAACATGGATGGACCTAGAGATTATCATATTAAGTGAAGTAAGTCAAAGACAAATATCATATGATATCATTTATATGTGCAATCTAAAAAAATGATACAAAGGAATTATTTATAAAACAGAAATAGACTCACAGACATAGAAAACAAACTTATGGTTCCCAAAGGGGGAAGGTGGGGCAGGGATAAACCAGGAGTTTGGAATTAGCAGATACACGCTACTATGTATAAAATAGCTAAACAACAAGGACCTACTGTATAACACAGGGAACTACACTCAGTATCTCGTAATAACCTATAATGGAAAAGAATCTAAAAAAGGACATATATATATATGTACACACACACACACACACACACACACACACATGCATGACTGAATCACTTTGCTGTATACCTGAAACTAACACAACACTGTAGATCAGCTATATTTCAATAAAAACTTAAAAGAAAAAAAGCTCGCACTATGTCGTGAGGGCTCACGAAGCAGCCTCTCTCCCACATCTTGGCGGCACAGAAACTGAAACAACCTCTATGAGGTCCAAGTTGGCAACCTCTACCCAAATGACCAGCGTTCTACCTTTTGACCCAGAACTTTCCTGTCTCGGAATCCACCCTACAGACAGATCCCCACTGAAACAATGCATAGGTACGGTTCTGTTCTGGACTCTAGCATACGCTGAAAAGAGCCCAAGTCTGGAAGTGACCTATCTGTTCCTCGGTTGGGAACGGAGTAAACAAACTGTAGGAGATCTGTACTGTATGATACTATAAACACTATGCAGCAGTGCAAAGAAAAGGCAGCTCCGATGTGGAACCACCTCCAAGAGATATATTTTGAATGAAAAAAGGCAAAGGGGAGAATATGCATTTAAAAAAGGAAGAAAATAATATGTGCGTATAATCGCTTGTGTATGCTGCTAACTACCATGGAATGATACAGGAGCCTAGGAACACTGCCTACAGAGGAGCCAGGAGGCAGGGGATGGAGATGGAAGGGAAACGTTTTATTGTCTAGTCTCCTGTACCTTTTAAATTTGGTATCCTGTGCAAGAATCATCTATTCCAAAAACTGTTAAATGAAAAGGATGAATAAAGTGAAATTTAACAAAATAAATCATACCAAAAACAAAATAGGGGCTTCAAAGGACTCTAGCCAAAGCAAAGAAAGCTCTGGGATCCTGATCCTCCGTTTCGTCACCTGTGGGGAGGAGGGAACAGCTGTGTGGCTGGCCCACCTCCACCTGGGAGGCTCGAGAGGGGCGAGACGTGTGCCCAGCCTCCACGGTGAGTGGCTGCACTCGGCACACGTGAGTCCCTCCGCTTGCCCGGATGTCCTCAAGGCCCCAGCCCACGGTGTCTGCAGAGGGTAGTAATGATGCTGAGGAGGGAGCTGATGAGGCACAGGAAACCCAGGCCCCCACCTACTAGTCTCCAGCCTGGTTGAGGCATTCAGCCCTGCAGAACCGCCAGAGAGCCGCGGTGGCCAGCAACACGCCCTCCTGGTCCTGTTGCTTCTCCCTCCATCTCCACCACCACACAACACACCCACGAAACACCACCAGCCCCTCCCACCCAGATGGAAGCATCCACCAGACTCTTCACAGAGGGAGGGTGCCTTGCTTAACCCCAAGGAGCAAAAGACTAAGAAAGGGGTTCTGGGCACCATGTTCTTGGGTCCCAGGACCCTCCAGTCAACGCACAGGAAAACGAGCTTCCTGCCACCTCACCAGCAGGGCAGTCGCACCCCCAAAATGATGCCAGGCCTTTACTTTCACCACACTTCTCCTCGGATCTCACAGCCCCTTGAAAGTTGGAATTATCAGGAATCACCTTTTCCATTAAATTTTGGGGAGAATGAGGCTCAGAGAAGCAAAATGACTTTAGCTGACACTTCAGGCGACAGTGACCACCTCCAGACCGCCCAGCTCCCTGTCCTTCACTCTTCCCACACCACCATCGGGCTCCCAGAGCTCCCCCTTGTAAAGATGACCACCCCCAACATGTGCAGGCTTTATTGCTTCAGCAGCTTCCTGAAGCTCGGCCCTCCCCACCAGGGCCTGGGCAAGCTCAGCCTGACAAGTCGGGAACAAGCCAGCCCCCATCGTCTCTCCAGGGGGCCCGCACGCACACAGCCCAGAGAAGAGGGAGGCCTGACCAGTGTCAGCAGCTCCCAGTCCTGAAAGAAACGTCCGGGTCCTGCTCAGCGGCCAGCGACCTACCCCTTCTTCAGGTTTGTCACGTAAGCGCTCTGGAGTGCAGCTTCCAGGAAGTAGGTGGGTTCGTAGTCGACCGGGTGAGATCCTTTCAGGTGGCGGGATGTGGTGTTACTTGTGATCTGGGAAGGGGAACACAGAGAGAGCCGCTGTCTCTAAGTTCCGAGGCCGAGAGGCCAGGGCCAGGGTCAGCCCAGGCAGAGGTGACGGCCCCATCGCCACCCAAGCCCCCAGCCCCCTTAGGGGCACGTAGGGCAATACTCAGACCAAACTCAACCTAACTTGCTTTAATTCAAAATAGGTCTAAAGCACTCTCCCTGTGCAAATGCTGCATGCCCATAACAGCCCTACAAGGCTGGTTTTCTCTGCACCTTACAGATGAGGAAATTGCGGCTCAGAAAGTGCCCGAGGAGACAAAGCTGGCCTGGGCCTGGACCTCAAACACTAGTCTGGCCAGCTACACATTCCAGGCTCTTTCTACTACTTATTGGTGCATTCTTTCAATACTCGAGCGCCTACCAGACGCCAGACATTGCACTGTCCCTGTCACATAACCATGTAACCTCAGAACAGCCCAACAGCTGACCCCTGGTTCGTGGGAAAGCTGAGGAACAACGGTTATTAACTGAGCTGTCGCTTAAGCCACAGCTCTGAGAGGGTCACCCAGCCCCACCGAGATGGGCCTGCCTTCACTATGCCACCTCCCTCTCTGATATGAGGGGAAAAAAAAAAAATCAACGAGCCATCCACCTCTTTCAGAAACTGAAATAGGTTTTAGAGAGATTCTTAGTTCCTCCGAGGTTGGTGCTGGGTCTTAGGAGGGACATCCAGCTTTGCAGTGCACAGGGTGCACAGGGTTCTACGGCCTGCCCCCCCCTTGACCTGAGATAACCAGCTATCGGGGCCCATTTGTCCACCCAGTGCCCCTGAGGCACTGATTCCAGCCCTGGACACCATTCCAGCTCATCACCTGAATCCCCTTTTAAGAGTCCAAAACCCAGGCTTCTGACTGAATGGGTGACTTTCAATGTTTCATGAAAGCTTCCTCCAAACTATATGTAATTCAAACACGAAGAGCTCCTGAAACATTGCATGTGACCTTGGCAGAGGTCAACTCAAGTCTCCACGTGGACCTCTGCCAGGGAGTACACTCGAGTCCTGTTTCTGCTGAGCCGCCAATCACCTCTTTCCCACTGAAGTCCAGCCAAGCAGAGGGCCTCTAGGACGGCGACTCTCAACAGGGGGGCAATTTTGCCCCTGAGACATTTGGCATTATCTGGAGACACTTTTGGTTGTCACAGCTGGAGGGGGGTTGGCTGCTGGCAGCCCATAGGTAGAGGCTGGGAGTGCAGCAGAATTATCCGGCCCCAAACGTCAGAAGTCCTGAGGCTGAGAATCCTGCTCCACGGGAACTGACCTGGCATGAGGAGGACGCCTCCAAAACGGTCCATCACAAACAGGGGCTGGGTTGACATTCTGGCATTTGCCAAAGTAGGTGAGGTTCAAATATCTCCTGAGCGCTGAGTCTCTCAGATCGTGCCCGCCTCCTCTGTCTGGATGCCAATCCTAAATCTCCTCTGACAAGCCTGCCATCTAGTATCTACTAAACATCCACTAAACAGAAGGCTTAAGCACCACCCCAAAGTCACAAGTCATACAGGGTCCAAGCCCTGCCAACGCCACTTATGAACGGTCCGAGCTCCGGGAAGCTATTTAACTCTCCACACCTGAGTTTCCCCACCTGCACGGTGGGAATAACAATCGTAACCTGTTGCAGTTGGTTACTATTTGAAGGTTAAATTAGAGAACAACTTTGAGTCAAGTACTCAAAGTAGTGCCTGACATGAAAACAGGGATGCAGTAACCGTAAGTATCTTTGTTGAATATGGCTGCCTGTACCCCCGCCATTTAACCAGGAGTCCCCAGAAGGGAAGAACTGGGGTAACATCACAGTATGCTGCTAACACCTGGAACTGCTGTCCTGTTGAGAGTTCATTCAGGCCCCCCGAAGCACAAGCAGGGAGATAAGTAGGCCTGAGAATCTCCAGACCCCTGTGGCCAGCTCTGCCAGCCTCTGCAAGGCTTTAAGAATGGTCCTCCTCCCCGCTAAAGGGTCCAGTAGCGAGCTTCCAGAGCACCTGAGAGCTGGGAAGAGTGCCTACATGGACCGGCCTGACTGTACCCTTCCAAGGGAAGAGTAGCGGGCAAATGGCCTAATCTCCCTAAACCTCATGTATTAAACAGGGATGAATGTAATACCTACTTCAGAGAGCTGCTGTGAGGGGTAAACAAGTTAACGAACACAACAGGGCTGTCACACTTTTGGTCGTACAAGCTGAGCTCACCAAGGAGGTTGCCAGCCGCTCGCAGGTGGCGTGGACTCTTCTGTTTATTAAAACTCTTTTCTGGCAGTAGAGAGTCTCATGCTTACGGAATCAGGATACTATACTATAATGAGTTTTCCAACGGATAAAGCAGAGCATCTTCAGGGCAGGTGGAGGGTCCTCTTTTCTAATTTGTACAAGCAGGACCTACAGTTTTAGTGGGGTGGGGGGGTTGCATAGATACAGGTGCTCAATAGAAGGCAGTGATGACCAATGGGGCTATTATTTCCAGCTCACCTTCTCCAATTCCTGCAGGAACACCTGAGCGATCCAGGAGGCCCTCTCGAAACAGGTGATCACTTCCTCCTCCCTCTCGGTCAGGCGGTGGCGGGAAGCGATGGAGTTGGGGAGGCGTTCCAGGGAGAGGCCTGCGGGACGAGGGGAGCAGCTCGGACCTGCCCTGCTCGGTGGGGAACGGGGGGCCCAACTCCAGGCCCCTCCCAGGGGCCCAGGGTGGGCTCATCCGAGGAGACTCTGGAGCAGCCAGTGGGAGGCAGAGGTCCTGGGAGGGGAAGGAGGGGGCTCAAGCCAGGATGGTATTAGCAGCGGCTGGGATCAAGGGGTGGACGGACAGCAGGCACCCATGCCCCACGTGGGGAACCACACTGGTGGCACCCCCATGCCCAAGTCCTGCCTGCTGGAAGCAATCCTGACGCCTCCTCCCAGCTGCAGAAGAGACCCCTCCCCAGGCACTCACCATGTTTACATCATGGAGTGGTTATTTCCATCTAGCTCTTCTCTCCCCCAGTAGTTCAATGGGGGCAAAATGAGCCTGTTTGGACTGCCACAGTCCCTAGCACGTGCTAGATGACTTGATTACACAGCATTTATATGCACCCCTCCCGTGGAACCAAACAGTTTCTACCTCACCTAAGTCAGGCGCTCAGGTCCTATGCGCCTGCAGTGGAATTTGCTGTTTTTGCGTCCCTGGCATCCATTTCCCATTCTTTCCACAGCAGCACCTCTCTTTCCCTTTGAGCACCCATTTGTGCAGCCTCGCTCAGCCCTGTGGCTCACAGGGCGAAGACCCCGCCCCACCTCAAAGGCAGGCACGTGATCCAGGCTGACTCATCATCAGGGCCACAGTGGTTGGCTAAGGGTGTGCACGTGGCCTGGTTTGTGCCGAGAAGACCCAATCCCAGAATTCTTACCCCTTCCACTGGGCTTGTTAAGCTGCTAAGAGGCCAGCCTGGAAATGTTAGGGAAAGGCTGCCTTAAAATGAAGCTACATAACGTGAATGTCGTTAACATGATTGTACACTTGAAAATGGTTAAGGTGGTGTATTTTATGTTTTGTGTTTTTTACCAAAATTTTAAAAAATTTAAATATAAAAGCATAGCTCTAAAGCAAAAAAAAAAAAAAAAAAAAAAACCCCGAAACTATAAGAAACTAAGAAGGGAAAGCTGTAAAGGGAAACAACTATATTTATGTCTGGGTTTTTGGTCTTTTGCTTTTTTTTTTTTGAGACAGGAAAAAGATTGAATAAACTCAGTCATGAAAAAAAAACAAACGAAGTCTGCACAGAACAGAGATGAGACTTGATGGAAAAGGGCAGATTCCTAAAGACACTGTTTGAACACTCGCCTGAAGCACTACCCCCTGAAACTTTCCAGTACATGCACCAATAACCCCTTCCCCCATTTTCTCAGGGAGGGGTGGGGTCAAAGTCCACTTAAATTGTGTTGCTGTCACGTGCAACTCACAGTCCTGACTAGAGAGCACTGTCCTAGACTGCGGTTCTCGATGGGCAGAACCCAGATCCTTCTCACCTTTGTGCCCACATGGTACTTTATATGTAGTAGGTGCTCAAAGTGAAGTGACTGAAGGAAGGTCCAAGAAGAGAATCCTCAACTCTCTCCTGCCCTCTGGCCCCAATATCCAACTGATGACCAAGCCCTTAACATTTCAAGCCCCCCCTCCCCTTCCCTTCTCTTATCTCCTTATTTTAGGCTTTATCTCTTGAGTGGATGACCACCTTGGCCTCCTAGCTGGCCTCCCTGCCTCCAGTCTCACTCTCATCCATCCTGCTCAAGGATCCCAGGGTGATCCTTCTAAAACTCCACTGCTTAAAACCCTCCACTGGGGTCCCCACTGCTGCAGGGTGAGGTCCAAACTCCTGACATTCCATACCATGCCCTCCAAGATCCATCCCTGTCACCTCCCCAGCCTTGTCTCTCATCATGTTACACATCAAATGTTTGTGTCCCCTTGAAAGTCATATGTTGAAAACCTAATGCCCAAGGTGATGGTATTAGGAGGCGGGGCCTTGGGCAGGTGATTATGTCCTGAGGGTGGAGCCCTCATGATAGGGATTAGTGTCCTTATAAAAGAGACCCCAGAGAGCCCCTTCCATCATGGGAGTACACAGCAAGAAGTTGGCAGCCTGCAACCTGGAAGAGGGCTCTCACCAGAACCTGACCGTGCTGGTGCCTTGATCTCAGACTCCCAGCCTCCAGGACTGTGAGAAATAAGTCTCTGTTGGGTATAAGCCACCCAATCTGTGGTGCTTTGTTCTAGCAGCCTGAGCTGACTATGACACCATACCTGCTGCATCCACGCCCAGCCTCCTGCTCCCACTGTGCTCGGGTTGCGCCTCTTGCCTGGAATGCACCCTCCACCCCACCCCCCAGAGGCCACCCAAAATTACAGCTCACCTTCTGCCACTGAGTGCCCCCTCCTCTAGGGAGCCCCTCCAGTACACCCTGGTATAACCAACCATTCTCTCCTTGGGCCCTGATCTACACTTTACGTATTCCTGCCCCACCATTTTGTTATACTTATTTGTTCACGTGTTTGCTTGGCCAGACTATAGGCTCCTTAAAGGCACCAACCTTAACACGTTCACCTTTCTATAACCTGCCACACAGTAGGCGCTCAGCAAGCACTGGCTGGCTGAAGAAACGACAAGCCTGGTGGTGTCTGACAAAGTACAAAGTACTCTACAAACACAAGGTAAAGATACTGCTGTCCTTGGCTAGATTCCCAACTCATATGGTTTCAGTGACCTTGCCCTCTGCCAGACTGGGGTGTGAATGGGTCCGAAGGTCGGGATGCCTCGGCCTGGGGAAAGGTGGACACAGACCGCGAAGGCCCTTGCTCAACACAAAGACTCAGTTACGCGGGTCACCAAGTGTCAACGTGCCTCCTGCCAAATGACTCACGACCCGGAAAGGACTAAGGGGGAGGAGGAACAGAGGGCACACTGGAGAAGACGTGGCAAGAAGGCAGGAGAAGGCTGGTCCCCTCGGCTCACTGCCGGCACTGGCCCAGCCACTCCTCTCCAGACCCACGGCCCCCGTGTACCCTACAGGACAGTGGGACATAGAAACGTTCAGGGCCTGGCCTGGAAGCCAAGTGGAAATGGCAGGAGGGCAGAGCCAACTCCAGAAGACACAGAGAGGGTCTGTTTTAACACATCCTTGTGCTTCCCCCCCCCCCCCCCCCCCCCCCCCCCCCCCCCGCCGAGATGTGCTGCTGTCTGGGTTCCCTCCTGCCCCACCTCTGGGCCCAGAACTGGGACGGACCAGGTTCAGGCTGCCAGTCCCCAGCCTCCAGTGGGCTGGCCATGGCAAAGCGGTGAATTCAGCAGTCTGTGGGGCCGCCACATTCCCCGTGCTCCATTTGTTCCTTCTGCTCCCAGCAGGGGCCTCTCCACCAGGCTTCTCTGAGAATTCTAAACCCCATCCTCCTTGAAAGCTCACAGCACACCACCTCTTCTCTGAAGGCTTCTTAAGTCTCCCGCCTTCAGAGCCAGCAGCACGTTTTAGCTGCGCCTCCTCTGCGTATGCCTTTCCCCTACATGGTGACCATCCTCTCTGCCCATTTCTGGTTGATCTTTGCACCCAGCGAGAGCAAGGCCTGGGGCTTAGTGAGTGGATGGACACACAGACGAACACACACATTCACTCATGCCGAGTGTAGAGGCCGGTGGCGTTTCTCCCTTTCCATCTAAAAAATGGTTCTTGTGGAATTCATAAACCGTGGCGTATTTATACAATGGAATACTACTCAGAAATAAAGAAAAGGACACACTCTTGATACATACAACACGGGTGAATCTCTCAGAACTTATATTGTGCAGAAGAAGCTACATATCAAAAAGTACAGGCCATATGATTTCAGTTATATGACATTCAAAACAAGGGCAAAATTATAATCTATATTAACAGAAACCAACCAGTCATTGCCTGGGGTGGGTTTGGGGAGGGGATCAATTGGCAAAGGACCTGAGGGAATTTTCTGGGGAGATGGAAATGTTCTTTGTCTTTATTGCGGTGTTGGTTACATGGGTATCTATACTTGACAAACTCATCAAATTACACATTTAAGATCTATGTACAGTATAAAAATATATCTAAAAATAATAAATATATTCCTTTTTGAAAGGAAGCAATTATGATTCCAGAGGACTAATGAAGATCAAAGTAAACGGGCTACAGTCACTGAGGTAGTGGTCTGTGAAAAAATTTCTAACATATAGCAGACCAAAAAGCTTCCTGGAGCTGGCAACAGCTCTTCCTAGTGAGGGTCACAGTCCAGTCACCCCAGTTCTGCCCATAAAAAGAGGCTTCTTTGTCCGCCTGCCAGTGCAGGGGACATGGGTTTGAGCTCTTGTCCGGGAAGATCCCACATGTCGCGGAGCAACTAAGCCCGTGCACCGTAACTACTGAGCCTGCGCTCTAGAGCCCACGAGCCACAATTACTGAAGCTCACGTGCCACAACTACTGAAGCCTGTGCGCCTAGAGCCTGTGCTCTGCAACAAGAGAAGCCACTGCAATGAGAAGCCTGTGTACCGCAACAGAGAGTAGCAGCCAAAAGTAAATAAATTTATAAAAAAAAAAAAAAAAAAAGAGGCTTCTTTGCCTTACATTTGCTCTTTGAGTCATATGACGGGCCATTTTCCTGTCACAAACATCTGACGGGAAATCTGCTGGGGATTCCAACCCTCGGGTTCCTTCATCCTCTGCCCTGTGTGTTTCTGCACAAGTGGCCCGACCACAACACTAGCTCCAAGATGGAGACGGGCTGCTTCTGAGCCCGCCCCCAAAGGATCCCAGTGGATCCCAGCCCTGTTGAGCGGGCAGGAAGCCAAAGGCTGTCAGGAAGCACGGGCACTGCCTCCTGATTCCCACTGGCAGAGGGGCCTTTATGTGAAAACACCCAGTCGTGCGAGCCAGGGGAGGTCCCCTTTCAAGAGGGGCGCTTGCTTTTTCATTAACTTTGAACTTTCGGTTTGGAGGCAAACTGACCCTGGCACAGCTCAACACCCAGGCTGGTCCGGGCCTCAGCGGTCTCAGTGACTCATCACATCCCAAACAGCAGCCCTTCCAAGAGGCCCCGCCCTTGGAGCCCTGGGCACTGGATGC